GCTCCCAGAGCGGGGCCGGCGGCAGCGCGGAGACCTGCGCGACAGGAAACGGCAACGAGACCTTTCTTGCGATAGTTTTTATTTGCTCTGGACCTGTGTCTTTAAATAAGATGAATTCATAGTACCAGTGTATCCTTCACTCTAAGTTATATATATATATATGAATATAGAGGCAGATAAATACCATGTTTGAGTAAAGCACGAAACAAAACCAGGCGTGCTCTAAGTATGCATTTACATTTGTCATAAATTTATATTATTTTACAAAAATAAAAGTATCACTAAAATATTTTTATGTTCTCTGTAACTCATACACCGGAAGAAGTGCAGCTATATTGTCATAATATATCCTATTTTACTTACAGATAGCATGAGGTCGTTGACAGTACTCCGAAGAGTACTGTCAGGTACTTATACCCTTGATACACAGCACTGTTCTCAAGTCAAGTTTCTTTTGCTTTTGTCTGTTCACTGTGAATACTGAAGTTCACCAAAATCTCAAAAATCTGTTTTCTTAATTCTGCATCCCAGTATTGTGCGTATGTGGGTGAACACCTGTGTATAGCATGAAATAATTGCCATCTTAAAACTCTTGCAGTGAGTTTGTCTCAAGTCCAACCAAGAGGTTTCTTTAAATCATTGCCGCTTGTTACATTAATACAATTATACTTAGTCTGTCAATTAAGATTTTCTACCTTTTTAATATGAACAATCCACTCTATAGTTTTCTGGTTGGAAACATTTTAAAAACTTCATGTTTGATTTCCATTAAGTGTATGTGTACGGATTGTATATTTTAAAACCTCAGAAGAGAGTTCCATTTATCTAATACAAGTAATTTTAAATAGGTACCTAAGAAAACTATTTCCTGATATCCTTAACGTATGCAGCTGCAGCATGGGATCGTGCCACGTAGGTACAGGTGATTCTGGTAACTGAGAAGAAGCACAGTCCCTTAGAAAGCTCCTGCTGACAAACTGAGGGTAAGTTTGTAATGCTTTGCGCTGTGAATTTTATCCATCTTGAATTTTTTCAAAACTCTCATGTCAATGTACTTGAACCGTTTCTGGAACAAAGTAAGGTACTTTGTACGTATTATTTTTACCATGAGTAATGACTAAGGTTAAGTATATATCGAAATATTTGTTTTCCTCTGGAATGACTGGGTTCAATGAAGCTGCTGATTTCAACAGAATGATGTGAAAAGTAGAGCAAATGCTAAAAACAGTAAGTCTCTTGAGTACGGAATGGTTAGCTAAAAAATAGGATGTATGGGTGGTCACTAATTTTTTCCTCGAGTGAAAAACATGATGTCAGTATTTTCCACCGCCAATCACAACATCCAAAATACCTGTTATTGAAGCTGCAGAAAAGTAATGGGCTCTTCTTTCTTCTACTTAATGATTAAACAGGTATAATATTTCATATGCAGTTCAAGTTTCAGCCTGATTTTTCAGTGACTGTGTATTGAGTACAGTGGGTGAGCTATTTTAAAAATTCCAGCCAAAAAAGTAAAATAAAAATATACAGCTAATATTTGCAAATAAATATTAACACCTGTCAAAGTAAAAAAGAAAAGAAAATGAGATCTACTTCAGTAGAAGTAAATTATTAAATAATAAAATAACTACTCACAGTATTTTTATATACATAAAATTTGGTCATCATTTCAAACATATAATTGTATGAAAAAATCTTGATATTGTAGTGCTACATATGTGTTAAAAGTGCAAAATGCCTTTGTAGTGACATAAAACAGACCAAAGCAAAATTGCTGGGAATGTTTCAAATTTTCAGAATTACAATATAGAAACATAATTTAAAGTTGTGTTTTGAGCAGTAGATTCATTAAGTGAACCCTTGGTTTGACTAACACTTTTTTTTTTTTTTTTAATTTCGACTTTGGGACAATTTTTATGCCTTTTTTGTATATGATCTAAAAATAGATTCTGTCTTTACTATTGTTTGAACAATATTTAAGGGAGTAATACACATATTTTTAAATGAACACGCTAACTTTAAAAGCATACGCCCAGCCCTCAGTCACTGTAAATCAACATAGTTGATTTGCTCTGATGTAGCTGTGCCCACTGTGCTTTAATTAATAAGGGGGTTGTGGCTAGCCTTTATCCAGCAGACTACTTAACTGTGTGTATGTTGACTCCAAAGAGGTATTAAAATAAGCAAGGACATACATACTTTACTGAATCACTATCTAGACGTCTTAGAAAAGTATCTATGCATCCCTCTGACTAGTTTATTGTAGTAAGTATACTCTCCCGCTTTTAGGCCTGTGAGTGCTTAGGCACATGATTATTCAGTCTGCAGGAGCCATTAAAAAGAAAGCATCCTCTTCTCCATAGGCAAGTAAGCAGTCTCTGGCTAGACTTCTGAGTGTGCTACAGCTTGCCTTATAAAGAATCTGCACCAAATTTAGTTAGTAAGCATCTTTAGTCAGTGACTAAATTGTATTCTAACAATTAGGACTGAAAATCTCTAAGCAAGGCGACATATCTCAGCTTGAGAGAAGGTAACTGAAAACATGAGTTCTAGGAGGGTTTGTTGGGAATTAAAGAGATAATGAGAGAAGCGCTTCAAGATAACTTCCATATTCTTGGAGTGTTATCCAGGTGCTATATTATTTTCCCTGTTCAATGTACTCTGTATTGCAGAATATGATACTCTATATCTAGTATTAAAAAATATAAAACATAAATACCTCCCAAGTGGGGTGATCCAAAGCCGAAATGAGCACCAGCACTGTTAAACTGTTATCTGTAGTTCTAGCTTAGAGACTTCCATGTCTTAAAAGCATCTCTTACTGCTTGTCTCTTGATTCTAGTTACATATTACTCCTTGATTTAGTGTGGTTGCATACGGTTCTCCTGTTAGTCACAGTGACTAAATTCATTCCTGTGCAGATGAAAAGCTCTTAAGTGGGATTGAATTGCAGTTATGCTTTGTGCTTTGCCTGTGTTTCATACTGAATTTTGTCCACTTATTGAAAAAAATAATTAAGTCAATTCATTGTGGACAAAACGTTCACAGTTCTCTTTGCTGGGTCTTATCTCCAGTGTATTGCTTTCTCCATGGGACTCCTTTAGTGCAAGTAGAACATATATGTGAAGGTGCTCGGTTTGGGGCCAGTGCAAACCAGAATAAAGGCTAAACTGTTTCTGCATCGTTTTGGAGCTGGGGAAACCTGCAGACACTCCTGTAATTTTCCTGGAATCTGTTGCTGTTTGTGAAAATACGCAGCAGCCACTATTAACAATGATCTGCTTTTGTAGGTGACGTTACCAGGGGTATGTCTCTTGGATGTAGGAAATAGCATGGTAGTATTAAATACCCTTCATGCAAAATTTTAAGATGTATTGGCAGCAGCCTACTATTTACGCTATTATGCTCAACACTCCTGATTGGGGGGGGGAAATTTTTTCTTCTTTACACGCAAACCTTGCAAGAATAGATGTGAATGTTTTAGAACTATTTGCAGGGGATGTTAAGTCAGCATGCCTTAGTATTTTATTCATGTCATGTACAAACTTATTCAATTTCTTTTAGATGGTGAATTGGCGTAAGTCAATTATGGTTAGAAATGGTTGTACCACGCATACTCATATTACTGCGTTCTTCATTTCAGCCAGTGAAACAAACCTTTTTACTGACCCTTAAGCAAGAAATGGAAGCTTTAGTATTTTATAAGGTTTTAAATGTTGGCAACAACCTAAAACAAATAATATTTTTGCTGTACTATTACTTGTATTATCTTGCCTTTGAACAACCACATCATCGTTTCTTCACAAGGTGGCTTCAGGAAAATAATTCCCACAGCCTCCTAGAGTTTGCGGTCACCCTGTGACTGTGGGGCTGCTTCTTGTTTAGCGAGTGGCTTTGCCATAGTGGAGTTGTGTTTGCTACATAGATCTCTGATTTCTAGGAGACTTTCTTCCACAGCTTTTGCAAATGTGTCAGAGGAGGTTTCTTTACAGTCTTTGAAGCTTGAGATGCAAAATAATATATGCTCTGGCTGAGGGTTATAACATGCTCCATAACCGTTGGGCACCACCGGCCCGTAGCAGCAGAACATTTCCATGGTGGTTGGAACCTGGTTGCAGGGA